GGTTTCCCTAGTGCGGGGCTATGTTGATTGTGAGCGTTATATATATATATATATTAGGGGTTAAAGTATGAAATTGCCGTTTTATTGCAATAGGTTCTTTGAATTTTCATAGAATCTTCTTGGTTTGAGGTTTTCGAATGAAACTTTTTTCAAATGGTTTCTGTGATTTTTTTTTTAAATTTGAAACATTTGAATATCGACTTTCAATTGTTTTTGTTATTCAATTTAGACAAGAAAGATGGATACTGCGAAAATTCGAGTGATTTTTGAATACGAGTTCCGACGCGGAACTAACGCGGCAGAAACAGCCCGCAATATCAATGCTGCGTTTGGAGAGGGGTCTACTAATGAACGCACCGTGCGATTTTGGTTTAAACGCTTTCGTGATGGAAATTTCGACTTAAAGAACGAGCCACGAGGAAGACCGCCCACACAGGTGAATAACGATGAATTAAGAGAGATAGTGGAAGCCGATCCTAGTCAAACTACCCAGGAATTAGCGGCATGGTTTAACGTTACCTTACTCACAATATTGACTCACTTGCGTCAAATCAATAAAATAAAAAAATACGAAAAATGGGTGCCTCATGATTTGACTGATCTGCAGAAAGAAACGCGTGTTGAAACTTGTGTTGCCTTGTTGAACCGGTACAGAAATGAAGGAATATTGGATCGAATTGTAACATGTGATGAAAAGTGGATTCTTTATGATAACCGGAAAAGAAAAATGCAATGGCTGACCCCAGGTCAAATGCCACAACAGTGTCCTAAAGCAAAACTTACCAATAAAAAGGTAATGGTAACTGTTTGGTGGTCTCAGCATGGTGTTATTCACTATAGTTTTCTCCGATCTGGTCAAGCAATAACGGCAGATGTCTATTGTGCCGAACTCCGAACCATGTTGACAAAACTAGCAGTAAAACAGCCCCGACTCATGAATCGATCTTCACCATTATTGCTCCACGACAACGCGAGACCTCACACAGCACGAGAAACCATTTTGACCCTTCAGGAACTGCAGTTTGAAACCATTCGTCATCCTCCGTATTCACCAGACCTTGCTCCAACGGACTACCATTTCTTTCGTGATTTGGACAATTATCTACGTGACAAGAAGTTTTCTTCCCAGGAGGCAGTACAAAATGCTTTCACACAGTTTGTGCAGTCTAGATCGTCGGAGTTCTATCGCAAAGGCATTAATAACCTTCCCATTAGATGGCAGCAATGTATAGATAATAATGGCAACTATTTTGATTAAATAAATTTGTTAAAAATTTAAAAAATAAACAATTTAGATTTTCAGTACAAATCGGCAATTTCATACTTTAACCCCTATTATATATATTATATATGTCCGGTCTCGAGCAGACAGCTAGGTAATTCAGTGAATCAATCAACTCTCTGTATGGCAGTTCACTTGGTGAAACGTAATTCTCATCTTCTGGTTTCACGAGCTTCAACCCAGTTTCAACAGGAATCTTTACACTCTTGCAATCACTCATCCCAAATTTCTTAAATATTTTCTCAAGATACTCTGATTGGTTGAGCCGTATGGAGTTCCCCTGCTGTATGATCTTTATTCTTAGAAAAACATTTACTTCGCCTAAGTCTCTAATTTCAAATTTAGTTTGAAGTTCCGTCTTTACCGATGTCCTTTCTTTTGATCATTTCAGAAAATTAATATATCATCCACATAAATCGCAATAAAGATCATACTGTTTTATTTCTTCCTCATATAGACACAAGGTTCACTTTCGGATCTCTTGAAACCCATATCTAACAAAGCTTTGTGTAATTTCTCATACCATTCTCTGGGAGCCTGCTTTAATCCGTAAAGAGCCTTCTTCAATAGACAGACATATCCTTCTTTATCAATTTCTTGGAAACCTTTAGACTGCTTCATGCACACCGTCTCTTTTAAGTCTCCATTCAAGAACGCAGTAACGACATCCGTCTGATCCACTTTCAAGTCATTCTCCACAGCTAAAGCTAATAGTAATCTCAGAGTACTGTGACGTACAACAGGCACAAAAGTTTCATTCTAGTTTAATTCCTTTATTTGGGTAAAACCTCTAGCAACAAGTCTAGCTTTGTACCGTATCTTCCCCGGCTCCTTTTTTATTCTAAAAATCCATTTAGAATCCACAACGCAGCCATTAGACTTTTCTACTAACTCCCAAGTCTGGTTTTTCTTAACTGCATCAAGCTCTTCTTGAATCCCTTTAAGCCAAATTATCTCTATCTGGTCTCGACAAAGCTTCGTCAACTGTTACAGGATCTTCCTTCATATCCTTTTTTTGCATATTAAAGAATATAATCATTATATTTTTTGGCTTCATTTCTCTAAGAGGATATCTTCTTTCAGGAACATCATAAGTGGTTTCCAATCTTAGTTCAGCCACTTCTTCATCTTGAACTTCAGATTCAGGAACTTGATTGGGGTTACCGGTTTCAATTTCATTTCTCATTTCACCTGATTGTAACTCTTTTCCAACAATGTTTTCCATACACTGCTGCTCAACATCTTGACAGTCAAAAAAATCTTCATGCTGTTCCACTCGATGAGTTTCAGGAGCATTAACTACTTCCACGATTTCATCACAGTCGTTTGCATGAACTCTTATTTGATTCTCGAAGAAGACAACATCTCTCGCTTTGTGTAAGCCATGCGTTACAGGATCTATAAGACGATAGCCTTTTGTTGTTTCACAATAGCCAACAAATAGCAATTCTTTTGAATTCGAGTCAATTTTCTATGCTTCTGTTTTGGAACATGCATAAACACCCGGCAGCCGAAACCTTCATTTGACTCAGGTCAACCTTTCTGTTAGACCATGCTTCTTCAGGCGTCTTCCCTTTTATAGCACGTGTAGGACATCTGTTCTTCAGATACACTGAGGTATTGACCGCTTCAGCCCAATAATTCTTGTTAAGTTTCGCTTCTGCAAGCATGCTTCTAGCTCGTTCCACAATTGAACGATTAGCTTGTTCACTCACTCCATTTTGTTGCGGTATACTCTACTGTCAACTGATGAACAATACCATTAATCCGCAAAAAAGCATTTACGCTTTCATTGATGTATTCTTTCCCGTTGTCTATTCTAATTGCCTTTAGCTTTTTACCCGTCTGATTTTCAACAAGCGTTTTGAACTCTATCAGCTTAGAATAGACCTCACTTTTGTTCCGCAAAAAATAAAAGTTTTTCTTGAATTATCGTCAATAAACGTCAGGAAATACCTATCCCCTGCAAATGAAGTAGTGTCCATAGGGCCACAAATGTCGCTATGGACCAATTCAAGAATTTCAGTTGCACGTGTACTCTCTTGCTTCGGAAAGTTTGCTTACCTTTCAAGCACGACACACACTGTACTGAATTTGAATCCTTGAAACATATACCTCTCGCCAGTTTGTTACGTAGTAATTTCATATTGTCATGTCCTAAATGTCCAAGTTTGCGGTGCCATAGTTTAACTTCATCATCAGTAGTTGTTTTTAAAGCTGAAAACAAGTCAGGATTAGAATTAGGTTTCACTACATAGATCCCTTTCTGTTCCTTACATACCAACTCAACATTACCGCTCACTTGACAATCACTAGCTTTATATAATTCACAACCTCTCTTCGAATATACTACCACAAAGTTACGATTCACTAACGCACTTACACTCAACAGATTCGCAGCTAGCTTCGGCACATAGTTATGCTTCTTCGAGCAAAAACGAGCTTTATGTTCTTGTTCGCACACATAACATTCAATCTTCTTATTAGCCGTCACTCTGGATTTCTCCACTCTGGGATTTTCCTTTGCTTTGCTAGTACTTTTATCCTTTGTAGCACCTAAAGCATTCTGCGGCTCTATGTCAGTTGTCACATTGACATCTATTTGCAGCAATTTTATTTTTTAACGTAATCGGTTGTCAACGTAATATTGCTGTTTTCTATAGCCATCCTCATTGGCTCATACTGATCTCCTAGTCCTTGTAGCATAAGTGCAGCCAACATCTCAACGTCTACTTCTTTGCCCATATCAGCCAGCTGGTTGGCCAGCGACAGCATCTCGGTGACGTAGACTCGTGGGCTGTTATATATGCTCAGCTTCTGACTAACAAGGCGTCCTAGCAGTCGACATCTATTATTTACTCCTTGGTCTTCGAAGGCAGCTTTCAAAGCATTCCAACTCTCTTTAGCTGTACTTGCTTTCTTCACATGCACCAAACAGTGTGGTTTCACCGTTAGAAGCATTTTAGCACGTACATTCCTGTCAATCTTAAGACCCTCCGAAGTTGTTGGTGTTTTTTCAACATAATCCCAAAAATCTTCCATGACTAAGTAAAGCTCAACTTGTACTTTCCACGTCGCATAGTTAGATACGCTGTCAAGTTTTTCGAAACTTTGATGTAGTCCTCCCACAACCTGGGACTTTCTAATATTGTCTCCATCTTTGACAATATTCATCTCGATTATGTTTCTAGAAATCTTTTGTCCAACTACGCTCTGCTACCATGTGGGGAAATCCAGAGTTTATGGATAGCTCTCTGAGATCTAGGACATTCGAATTAGAAACAATAAAATAGATTAAAGTAAATTATGTAAAAACACATTTAATTTAGGACGGCAGTCAAAAGTATAATGTCATAGAAAAAACAATGACATAGAAACATGAAAAGATATTCAAATTTGAATTACAAAGGAACGCATATACTAAAAAGGTTTGCTCTATTAAAAATATTTAACCTCCTTCAACAAATATGCATAACGACGAAAAACTACTTTAAAAAATCAAAAGTTTTTCTTGCCTTTGTACCTGTACAAGTACAGTAAAAACACAATAGAAAAGAAAATATTTAATAAGGATTCCGAAAACTAAATGGCCTAACCTGGCTCAAAGGACTTGTATCCAAGCCAAAACTGCTAATAAAAAATGTATTTGATCGAGTGAGTGAGTGGGGGAAGACGGGAAGACATGGGGTAGGGGAGATGCGCGGTTCCGTGGGTCAAATTGATTGAATTTATTCTTAGACGAGTTATTTTTCAATTACAGACCCAGTGCGCGGCCTCTCAAAGAAGTAGTATTTTATTCTTGTGTTGTTAAGTCGTTTACATTTTGTAAACGGCAAGAATCATGCTTCGCCTAAACCGACTGGCTCTGACTAGAAAATTATTACCATCAATTCAATGTAAGTAAGTTGACTTTTTTATTTAATATATTGATCAAAATAATCCAAACAATTAAAAAAAAAATAAACAAACTCATAAATTTCCCCTGTGCAATCATATTTAAACGTACCTGTTGTGTATTTCATTAATAAAAATTGTTCGTTAATTTCTATTTTTGAGATATAAACTTATTTAATTAGAACAAAATGTAAATAGTCGACAAATGAAGATAAACGTTCAGAGATTATTTTAATTCGATTAAATTTATTACTTTTAAAACTAATTTCTGTTATATTCACACCAGGTACTACTAAATACAGCACCGTTGTGGCTCAGGAACCTCAGAGACCAAACCTGAAGACGGAAGTACCCGGTCCCAATACCAAACGATTATTTGAACAGCTCAACTCTATACAGGTACCCGATTTAGCACTTTTTAGTGTGCACTTATTATTATTTTTTGAAAATTTTATACTCCATTGGTTAAACAATAAAGTTATGCATTCTTCCAAAAGACCATTCCACAAAAATCCCTCGCTTAAGGTAGATAAACAGATAAAACACGTTCGTGACGAAAACAATGCGTTCTCTGCTCCGACACAATAATGACGTCTGGGAAGTCGTAAAACTTGGAAAAAAAAGGCTATGGAAGCATTGACTTACAAGTCAATGTATAGAACTCATCCATTGTCCAACCTTCACTGTCTACCTGTTATGTCTACAATTTTTTTAAACTAAAAATGCCAACTTGTAGACCTTGTGTTGTTTTCCACCCGTACACTTTCTGCCATCGTATTAAGAATGGTTTTAAAAATTAAATTATAAGTCGAGAACACAAAATATCGTGTTTGGATTCATATATTGATATAAATAAATGGAACGGATTTAATATTCAAAACTGGAGAAATAATAGCAGCTTGTTTCTTAGTAGAGTCCTAAAATGATAGTACCTATATTCATTTAAATACACATAGTCACTTATTCAGTCTTGTCGGAACGTTGTACCCTAACTTTCCCATTTATATTAATTATATTTTATTTTGTATTGAAAATTTATTTAATTGGCGATTATCATAAAAAAAAACCGCGCGAAAACAGAAATAATTCTATGTACAAATCTTTATCCTTTTCAATGGTTTAAGTTTTGATTTGTCGATAACATATTTTCCACAAAACACAATAACTCAATGGGTAGGTAATTACGTATTTACTCACATCTTCTAAATAAGGCAGGGTGAAAGGTATTCATAGTAAACGAGCGTAAATGAATTCACTGATGCGAGTGTAGGAAGCGAAAGACATACTGATGTGTCAGGGTAGCAAGTGGAGGTCCGTAATCTCTGCCTACCCCTAGATTAGTCTCATTTATTTACATAGAGGGGAAATATCGGGCAAATAAACAGTTTTATTTTCATTTATGCTTCTAGGTCTTCATTGATGGAACACGTGCATAAAATTCGCAGTAGTTGTGTTAAGCATTAGTTTTGACGTATTTGTGTATTTCGCAGACGTCCTTTTCATCAAAATAATACTCAATCTCCAACGAAAACTAGATTTGCCCCAAATTGTGCGATGCATGTTACACTACCCAGAACATTCAGAGCTACCGGGAATTGAACCTCGAACCTTGTCATGTAGCATACACAGTGCTAATCGCAAGGCCATGGAGATCGTCGAATGGCTCATATTGATCTAGTTCCAAGATAATACTACAATATGACACTGAAATGATGTTGACATACCTTGAAAAACATTATTTACTTTCTCATTGTCGAATAACTGTAAATTGTTCTTCTACGTATTTGCATATGAGAAAACATCGTGAGATTTTTGTTTGTTTAAGATAATACACGTACGTTTAAAGTAAATAAAATAATGTGCCTTAACTACTAAATTTTATATAGGTACTTTAATGAACATAAAATGACAAAATTATTGCACACTAAATTCATATATTGCACATACTGTATTCTATGCGCTTAGGTGTATGCTTAGGCACATAAGCGTAAGCTAGGTAGGGACCCTACAGGATCCAACGTCCTAGTTATAAATATGCCTATAGATGAGTAGTATAGGACTACAACAACAATCTATTTTTAGTTTCGTGTTGGTACGAAGGCGAATCTAAAGTCAAACTAATAGAGGCGTATTTCTCTCCTTTTCTATAATGTTCGTATCTACGACTAATCAAGTGATAAGATTGATATTTATTACAATATGCCTTGACAACTACTTCTGTTTGACCTTGGTGTAAACGACATTACATAAAAGTAATATCAAGTTGATAAACATTGATAGATTACTGTCATACAAATAAATTATCTAAAAAGTGTTTTTGTTATATGATGCAAGTACAAGGTAATTCGCGAAGCCTAACAAAATTTAATTTAACAAAATGGTTTTTATTGTATCTCCATTAAAATCCCACGTCGTTTGTTTTGTCGAGCTAATCAAAGATGGTTTTCGTTAGGTAGGTAGTAAAAAATTTTTGGCAACTATTCCGATAGAGATTGAATGAATTTTGTTTTCATTATTACAAAGTTGGGGATTTCTAAAGTATTTTGCTTGAAATCTCTGTTGACTAGAAAGTAAAACCAAACTAAGAAAACACTAAAAGAAAAAAATCTTCTTCTTTTTGTTATCGTATCGTGTCTTCTTGCCATCATGGCGAAAGGATTTGCCAATCAGCGTAAGGTGCTCGCCAATTGTTGCCAGGGCGTGTCAGACGTACAGGAAAAGAATAGTAGTACGTCGTACGGGGAGGCTCAAAAAAGGAAAATGAATGATGAATGAAGGAAAAATGGTTCTTATTATATATATTTTTTTATGATACCGAGTAACGCATGACGGGACGAACAAGTCGCAGATATTAAAGCGGTTACACACGCGACTTTTAACAGAGAAATACAATCACGATGCAGTCGCTAATCCTCTACCGTTACACACACGCGCGCCCTATTTTAAGCAGCGTAGCAAATGCGATGCAGGTGCGCCTGAATCGATGCAAACGCGCGTTTGCATCGCTACACTTGGGATTTATATGTGATTGTATCGATGCAATTGCGCGTTTGTATCGATGCAATCGCCTATAAATAGCAAGTGTAGCGGTGCAATCGCGCGTTTCACAAACGCGCATTTACATCGCTGCTAAATTCGCCGTGTGTAACCACTCTTAGAGTCACTGCCACTACACCTGTCACCCTGAGACTTAAGTTGACAAGTCCCATGTGCCTGTAATTTCACCAGCACCCTTATTCTTTCAAACCGGAACGCAGTCATGCTGACTTTACTACTTAACGGCAGAAATAGGTAAGATGGCAGTACTTCCCTGGACGAACTCTTTCACAAGGAGCTCTACAGCTACTATACATTGTGTAATGTGCTATACATTGCCATGGGTTTAAAGTTTTTATAAGGGTGTCATGGATTTGTGTAATGTTTTTGTATCGCATAGACAACGTAAATAACTATATACCTAACTAAAAAAAACAAAAAAAAAAAAACAAAAAAAAAACAAAAGTCGTAGCCATTGTAAAATGTGCAAAAATAAATAAAAGTCGTAGCCATTGTAAAATTGGTATAGTGCAGATACACGCCTTTTACTAATACTACATACATGCGGTTTTGCCACTATCCCCGACGTAATGTTAAATTGTCGTAATTTTTTTCGAACGAAATTTTGAAAACGGAACTGCTGCACTACGCCAGCTGATATTATAGTTCAATTTTCTTAAACAAAACTTTCACAATGATTTTATTTAGTTCTTCCAAAAAACTACGACTATTTATTATTAAGTATTTTTATAATCTATTTTTATTTTTCAGCAAGCTGGTTCCGTACAATTGTTCGCCGATTACGACAAATGCACCGGCAACTATTTTGTGGACGCTGATGGAAATGAATTTTTAGATGTATTTACACAAATATCTTCCCTACCACTTGGTTATAACCACCCGGAATTGTTGAATGCGTTTGACGATCCGCACAGTCTGGTTAGTATAAAAACGGCCGATTTCGGATAATCTATAACATTTTATAGAATGAAACAGCAAATTGCAAAGACTTTCTGAAACTTGATTTGGGTATCGAGTTTTTATGTTTTCGCGATTGTTACACATAGGAAATAAAAGTATTTGTTCGGATTTAAATCGCGTATACTTTTTTTAAAACAGATCAATGTTTAGGTCCCCATTACAGTCGTGACTTAGGACCTGCAAAGAGCCTGAAAAGTTGGTTTGTTTGAAAAAAAAGAAACCAAAATATGGGATTTAGATAGGAAAAAAAAATGTTTCATTTCCTTGATTTAGTTCATAGTTTCCCACAGTGGTCCCTACCCAGCGCCCACGCGCCCAGTGGGCGCTGAAGAAGAGTCCTAGAGGTGCGGTAGGGGCCACGGAAGCAATTGGGGGCATTGAAGCTGCCCAGGGGCTACCGCGTTTGCGCGCATAATTGTAACTATTTTATTTAAAAAAAACCGACCTCAAAAGTTCGTGGAATTACATCTATTTGCCAAGTTTTATAAAAATCGGTTAACGGAAAGTGTGCGAAATCGGATCATCCCCTAGTTTACCACCCTTTGAGGTGGAATATTTTGTTCAAATTTAAATGGAACCAACTTCCCTCTTTCAAACAAAAAAAGAGTCATCAAAATCGGTTTCCAAAAAAAGATTTATCGTGTAACATACAAACAAAAATACAGTCGAATTAAGAACCTCCTTTTTTTAAGTCCGTCACTACAATCTACATTACACATATACAATTTTTATTTTCCTTGTTCATTTTTGTGCGTTAATTTAAAAAATTGTGGTGGAGGGCGTTGAGTTCTTTTATCTTGCCCAAGTGGCCGGTGAGCTAAAATGTTTGAGAACCTATGCGTTAGATCATTGAAAAGTAATGTATTCTTGTAATGTAAACAAATGTTTTTGTTATAATGTCACAAGCTTGCACGCTGTGTCAAAACCAAAACGGCAGAATGTGGATAAACCACTATTTTTATCAACCTATACGAACCGGTTTTCCTGCTAGCGCGTTCCACTGTTGAACACAAATTTCTTCTAAAAGGGATGTTTGCATGTGATTAATTAGTATTAAACTGCATTGTGATTTAAAAAGGCTCAATAATGCAGGGTGCAAGCTATCAGTGCTTTTTGAGAAATGATCCAGTGTAATTAAGACTGCGTTACCGTGGGAAATAGAGATAAGATGATAATCTACATCTTATCTCTAAAGTTCTCACAGCCAATATGATCCGGCCCTTTACAAGACTTGCATGGAAGCCTGACAAGAAATTGATTAATCATTTAAAATTACAGAAAACATTGATCAATCGCCCTGCTTTGGGGGTGTTTCCATCTGTTGACTGGCCTCAGAGACTGCGTAATGTTCTGATCTCAGTCGCTCCACATGGCATGCAAAGTGTATTCACCATGGCGTGCGGATCGTGCTCGAATGAAAACGCATATAAAGCGGCCATGTTCTCTTATCGCGTCAAAGAACGCGGTGGAAGCGTAGATTTCACTGATCAGGAAATGACATCGGTTATGAAAAATCAGCCTCCAGGGACACCCGATTTGTCGATAATGTCTTTTGAGGTAAACATGTTTGTTCAAAAGTGTGTTTTTGACCTTAAGCAGTACCTATATACTTTCTTGCAAGCTTTAATCATGTTGCTTCAATATACAATCCAGTGACTTCCTAAAGAAGTCACGTTGCTTCGACACATTACAAAGATAAAACAGTGTTGTTATTTCAGGGTGCTTTCCACGGACGTACGTTTGCCGCATTGACTACGACGCGATCAAAACCGATACACAAATTGGATTGCGTAGCATTCGATTGGCCAGCTGCTAAATTCCCCAGATATAAATATCCATTAGATGAAAACACGCGCGAAAATAAAAATGAAGACGCAAAGTAAATAATTTCATATTCTTTTCAAGTTCTTTCGTCTGGTTGCTTGTTTTCTACAAATTATTGGGTTTATTCCCAGTAGTTCAATGTACTCAGTTCCATATGGAACAATTGAAACCCAAAAGGTCCATGCATGGAACTAGTGGGAATAAATGTAATGTTTTTATCTTTATTCCCATTAGTTCTTTTACTCAATTCTTTTTCGATTTCCTTTCATAGCTCTTGTCACCGCTTGGGAACTCGTAAACGAAATTTGACGACGCTGTTGACGCATTGTGATGATTGATTTGACTTCGGGTGGAGCAATTGAAAACATTTACTGCATGTACCTACTATTTTTTATCTGTGATCTTTTATGACTTCGAATTATTGTTTCTTGGTGCTTTAAATCAAAAGTAGTTACGTTAGTAATACTTTAACAAAACGGCTTTTGAGTGAGATTGCGTGCTTACCTACTAATACATTTTTTGCATGTTGGTAGAAAAAAATTTGCTTATTTGGTAATTGACAGAATCTATAGAACTTCTTAACTACATGGAATGTTATATTTTTGCCGCCTCGTTGTGAAAATAGCGACTTAATAGACTAAGAACTTATGGTTACATTAGTCTGAACCGTACATCAAGATAGATCATAAAAAATTATACCGTGGTAGGACACTGTAGTGGTTAAAATATTGCCGAGAAATAAAAAACAGATCAGTAAAACACAGGTTTTCAGGTTTATTAGTTGCATACATCATTCTGTCTGTTGGCTAATTAAGGTACATTATGGTATTTAACTGGTATGTTTTAGGTGTGTCCTTGTGATAAACGTTCAACAAGGAAAGAAATACACTAGATCGTAAGTCAATGCACTGGATAGAGATTTAACTATATAGAGACTTACCATGTTACGGTTACCACGTTGGGCCGCAACGTAGAGTTTCCGGGTTCGATTCCTGGGCCAGGATATGTATGGTCTATATTTATTTCTCTCGTGAGTTTGGGTGTAATTTGTGGTTGTCTATATGTGTGTCCATCCGCGATACAAAGTTTCCCTAGTACGGGCTATGAGTGTGAGCGTTATTATTATTATTTATTAAACACTAATTACCTCAGTGCTAATAGCTAGTTCGCCGCAGTATAGTAAGAATATTGAGTATGGGTATATTGAGTAAAATTAATAAAGAATGATAATGAAACAAGTTCAACTACATTGCAGATGCCTTGATAGTGTACGTGAACACATAGAAGCGTACAAGAAGAAGGGGAGGCCAGTTGCCGGACTGATCGTCGAACCTATTCAATCGGAAGGTGGGGATTATGAAGCGTCTCCAGAATTCTTCCGAAGCCTCCAGAAGATTTGCAAACAGGTATACAATAGTTGAACTTCATTAAATTCAGTGTGGTCGTAAAACCAAGTAAGACGCGCCGTATTTGGTTGCTAGGTTTGAAATTAAATGAGTTTTAATTTATAGTGGCTGGTAATGCTTAAAATATATCCGTTGTCTTCTCGAGCCATATACACCTCTGTTGCTGATATATATAGGTGTCTGTGAAGGACCCTTAAAATATTTTTTTCCATCCTTTAAGAAAGGACCACAAATTTTAATGTAACATTGTACCTACTTCTGAGAATTATCCATGGGTCAGTTAGCCGTGACCATGGAACATTCAAAGGGCCCGAAACGTTGGTTTCTTCGAAAAAATAAATATACGCAAGTTCCGAAAAAATGATTTCGATTTTTTTCCCTTATGATGTCAAGTGACGGACGAACAATTCTTACGCCTGGTGGCGAGCGACACGCTTGCCCATAGCAGTTGCAATGCCACTCAGAGCTTTAAACCTCAAAGATCTGAGGGGTACAGCCACTGCGCCCGTCACCCTGAGACATAAATTGACAGATCTCATGTGCCTGTAATTTCACCAGCACCTTTACCATTCAAATTTGGAACGCAGTAATGCTCACATTACTGCTGGGCGGTAGAAATAGGTGCAGAAATAGGTAAGGTGCCAGTACTTCACTGGAAGAGCTCTTACACAAGTGTCTCTAATGCTACTAAATCATTTCCAATCTGAACCACTTGCGAAAACCTAATAACTCGAGATGTATGTCTTATAATTTCGAGGATAACAGTTGATATTTTCTTTTTCAGCACAATATAGCGTTTATCGTAGACGAAGTACAAACGGGCGCTGGGCCCACAGGGAAGATGTGGTGCCATGAATACTTCGACTTTCCACATGCACCTGACATAGTGACTTTCAGCAAAAAAATGCTCACTGGTGGATTCTATTTCTCTCCCGAATACAAGTGAGTTATTAACAATAATGATTAGCGTTCATTTCCGCTAGTTCTATAATAGAATTCGTTCGTTCCCACTAGTTCTATTGAGTATCTGCCGCCAAGCAGTAATGTGAACATTACTGCGTTACGGTTTCGAAGGTTATTAAACTTATAAAAAATACAAAACACTACTTCATTTTTATTAATTCAACTATAAAATCATTTCAAAAGGAGTTACCTGATATTATTTATTATTATCGGGATAAAACTAGAACTAAGCCAATATTACTATTTGGAATGATTTTTTTCCACTACTTCTATTATTATTGAAATATAATTTAATATATATAATAGAACTACTCAATAGAATAGTGGGAACGAACCTTGAAATTAATTTAATAGAACTATTGGGAACAAATAAATTTTTATTTGAAATCTATGCGCTAGGAAAGTAGGTACCAAGATCAAGAGGAAGTCAAGCCCTAAAGAAGCCCCAAGAAGTACCCTTTGATATTAAATATAATAAGATTGACATTAAACTCTATGCTGCTTACGATAAGAAAGTTCCGAATTCCAAAGTGTCAAGCTTGGTGTACTCCTGACTGTGCCTAACCACACCAAGACCGGTAACATTCTAGAAAAGTTTACAAATTGGTTCTTCCGGGAATCGAAGCCGAATCGTCACCTAACGAACCGAGGTCGTCAGTGTGACGTAAACATCAACTGTAGACTATATTAATACCGTTAAATCGAAACTAATGGTACATATTTAAAGTTCTGGATTCCAGACACAAGTAACTTTTTATGCAACATTTATGTTGGGCAAATCTTTTCAGGAGCCCTCACGCCTACCGCATATTCAACACGTGGATGGGGGACCCTGGGAAGTTGGTTCTCTTGGACAAAGTAATTAAAGTAATAAAACAGGACAAATTACTCGACCTGGTTTGCAAGACGGGGGCAGTTCTCAAATCTGGACTTCACGAACTCGAAAAGGAGTTTTCTACGCACATACACAGCGTACGCGGCCGCGGCACTTTTCTAGCTTACAATTCTCCCACTACCGAATTGCGAGACAAAATATTTACAAATATGAGGAAAAAAGGTAATTCTACTATTAATACTCATTATTTGATTTCTCAGAATCATGATAAATTTAAAATAACTGCCTACGTGGCCGAATGGTTGCCATGCCGGACTGCCACGCAGAGGTCTCAGGTTCGATTCCCGGGCCGGTAGAAATATTTTTATGGACAACATTTATTTCTCTCGTGAGCTTGGGTGTAATTTGTGGTTGGCTATGTGTGTGTCCATGGCACCCGCGATACAGGGTTACCCTAGTGCGGGGCTATGTCGGGTGCGTTATTATTATTTAAATATATATATATATTTATTTTGCAAGTAAGCACTTGAAATTGTCAAATAACTCACTCGTAAGGCAGATTGCTTGAGGGGAATGAAGACGAAATTTTGGACTTGTTTTGTGTAAACCAGTTGCGTAGCTGGGGGGTGCCGAGAGGACCATGGCCCCGGGCCGAACAGCAATGGGGGCGGCGGGGGCGCGAGCGGTGCGCCCTAACTAGTATTTTTTTTACTTAATTAGAAAATAAATTCCACTATTTGTGAAAACGATATTGTGAACAACACAAAGGTCGTCATTACAAACGCGGCTTCACACTGCCCGCGCGGCTCGTTTCCTGAAAACGCGCCGTGGAAAGACGGCCCCCCCGAGCGCGCCTGTGGTGGCTGGTACTTTCTGCCGCTGGTTGGTAACTTCAAAGGTGCGGCGCGAGAGCGCAAGTGGCCTCTCGACACACCCCGGACACTCCATACAACAGTCGAAAATTATTTAACTACATACAGCAAGGCGCTATCTGCACACGCGCGAAAGTGTGCGTGCAGTGGCAGGGTTACTTACCCATCACTTGCTCATACTATTACTTTACGTGGTCAGAGCGGCAACATAGCGAAAATTCTAGAATGTGTTATCTATAATTCTATTATATGTAGAATCCTAATAATCACACATGTTCATTACGTATTTATATCGATATAATATTAATTTTTTTTATTAATTCACTACCTAGAATAATATTGAAGATTTAATTAAAAAATAATTTAAAAGCACTTAAAATGTTATATTTTGGACAGGTACCTTTAAATAAGGTAACCAAAGTATTTGAAATTGCGTGTCTAACTTTAGCATTACCTAGTTAATAATTAGGTATATTCACTACGTAATATTTATAGGCAATACAAAGTCTACAACCATTGTCTAGCTCACGAAGTTATGGCGTCTTATTATATTAATATAATAAATCTGTATTATACATTACTCTGCACTAAAGAAAACAATAACTGAATGAGTCTCAGACATAAGTTGTTTTACTTACTTCGTTTCAACTTTCAAAAAAAAAAAACTCCTCTCTTTATCCCGTGTACATGATTATAAACAGCCGTGCACAGCACAATTCACGACCATTATAAATAGTAACTCAAAATGATGTTATATATTAACGTACAAATTTCGTAATGAATAAATGAAAACTATATTCAAATATCAAAACCGTCTTAGCACGAAATCGGCTCGCGAACAGCCTTGTACTCGTTCAGTCAATGTGATCGCAATGTGCGGGGCGTGGTGCGGTATCTAAAGCTAGGGAGGGGCGGAGTGTCCGTTCTCATTACTTATTTGTTCTCTACTCTCGATACAACTCCGAATACTCGCCGCCACGCGTGTCGCCCGTTTCGCGAGCTGGCCTATACAAATCGGCGCGTTTGACATCACGAGCCGCGGATACGCACCATAATACATTGATACCGAATTAGGTGCAGCAAGTAATTTGAATTCGAATCTTTAGAGTAAGTTGTCGAAAACGTAAGGAGATGCAAGTACAAGCTAGATGTGTGTGCTGCGCCGATTTTTCCACGTCGCCGCCCCGCTGATAAATTTGACCGGCGTACTAGACGTTTATTTTTATGTGATTGTTTTATTTTACCAACATTCTTTAGACTATGTAAATGAATGCAAAGGTTGATTTGAACAATGTTTTAGTTTCTTTAAACATATGAAAATTATATGCAATGATTTCACGAAAAACCGTCACCATCGAAAAATCAGCCACGTAGCCGCGTGGTCTTATTATATTTTTTCATGATTATGTATATGATATGAGTGACGGGACGAACAAGTCGTGCACCTGGTGGTAAACGACACGCCTGTCCATAGTTGCAGTGTCACTCAGAGCTTACCCTACAATAGCACCCTTACCCTTCAAAATCGGAACGCAGTAATATTACATTACCGCTTATAATTTATTATTTCAGGAGTGATGGGTGGAGTTTGTGGTAACAATGCTATACGTCTGAGACCCGCGCTCATCTTCGAACCGAAACATGCTGAAATATATCTCGACATTTTGAGGAAGGTCCTCAAGGAGCTGTGAAGAGGCTGGGAAACATTCCTGTTTATAAGAACAGTGTATACCTCACTATCGTTTACCGTAACTTCTATGTTTGATATTATTCTCATAAACATGGTATGCATGTACCATCATGTAATTAGGATAGTAATTGAATTACCGGGAACTTGTTTTAAGAATTACGTATTATTTGAACAATAAGACTTATTATATATTTTTAAGTTAAACGTCTATTTTTATCACAAATAATAATGTTTTCTTGGCAATTTTAAATCAAAAAAGTAATTTTTAGGGTATACCGATTGTATTATTTACCGTTTTTTGCTATGTTATTTTAAGTAAGTATGTATGAAGTGTATACGTAAATATACTTTAATTAATTAATTTTATGATGCCAAGTTTAGTCTTAATTAAAACCAAAAATCTGCTAGGAACTATAAAATAATAGAGTCAGGAATTTGATATACAATTAAATTTTATATAGCACAAAATTTTATTTCATTCATGTATGTCAATTAATCGGTGTTATAAACTTAAAATAATGATGTATCTACTCAAAGCCTCAAATCGTGTCTTCCAAATAAAAAATGTTACTGTGTACTATATTACTTTTCTTTTACACAAAATTATTTATTTTTTCCACATAAAGGTTTTTCTACCTAGGAATCGTTAACATACTCTTTTAATCTAATTTTGTATTTAGTCACTTATCCTAGATGCCGTTGACTTAACGTTTTCTGCTTTCATTTTTATTTTATTTTTATCGATTATCATGTTTTTACTATCGCAATATTCATCTATTTTTTCTCTCCATTTCTTTTTTTTTTTAATTTTTAGCACAAAGCATAAAGATAACTTATGATATTTAGAAATATTAAAAATATATTTCAATGACGATGATGAATTTTTTACAAATAGTATGTATCAGGTACCGATATCATAATCATCAACCCATTTAAACGAGCCACTTTTGGGCACGATTCGCCTCTCAGACGAGGATTTAAGCCACAGTCAGCCCTATGCTGGTTGGGTACTTCACACGTTTTCCGAGGGTTGTAAACATTCTTTGACGTGCAGGTTTCATCACGATATTCAGGAAAACCTACACCCGATAGCTCATGGTCAATTTCAAATTATTTGCGAGTCTGGATTCGCAATCACGGCCTCTGCTGAGAGGCGGTTGGTCAAATTTAGTTAGCATTAGTTTACCACGGCTTTTTATGTAAAACATATCAATAATGCCAATTAAAGCATTATACCCCTATTTAATAAAATTATGAAACGATCTTGTCTATTGTACCAAAAACTCACAATAATTTTATTATCAACGATTGAATTCATTTATTAATGAAGAAGACAAGTTTGAACTTAGACTATTCGACATCAGATCTATTTCAAAGATTACACAAAAACACTTAATGTACAACTGAAATTAAAGAATAATTATTATGCTCTTAATTTCTTTAGGATATGAATGAAAATGACGAATTGTATCCTATGATAATCATTATAATATGCTGGTATGGCCTCTAAAGTGTTCTTCAATACCTACAATGAGCATGGAAATTTATACCTTATTTCTATTAAAGTAGGCTATATTTATCAATTTTTATATACATTGGTAAATTTAATGTGCTTTGCTTTCCCCCATCTCTGCCGCGCCGGTTTGCGCTGGCCCTTATGCCTTATTTTATTATATTATACGTATTTCTTTTTTGCTATTCTCTTCTAAGATTGAAGTTCTTTTTTTTCTATCCTCTAAGGCAGCCTTTCAAAAAGTGGGCGATAACGCCCCCTTGTGGGCGCTGCAGGCCTAAAGGGTGAGAGACCCAGAAAAAAAATGGGGGCGTTGTCGTTGGCTTAGGGGAAGATTTGTAATTTCATCTACGAAGACTGAGGGTCGAATTCTAGAACTCTACTCAATGCTCAAGTCAGGATTTGAATATGGTTTAAAGCACTCGAAATCATACTCAAGTCCCTGCCATTAGGGTCGTATTTCCAGTGCTTGTGTTTCAATTGCAATCCTGACTTGAGCATTGAGTAGAGTTCTAGAATACGACACTGAGAGTCGTATTCCAGAACTCTACTCAAGTCTTGACTTGAGCATTGAGTAGAGTTCTGGTATACGACTCTTAGGGTCGTATTCCAGAACTCTTCTCAATACTCAAGTCAGGACTTGAGTATTGCAGTGAGGACTGAAAATCATACTCAAGACCTTGCCATTAGGGTCGTATTTCTAGTGCTTGAAAGCATACTCAAGTCTGCTCAAATCCTGACTTGAGCATTGAGTAGAGTTCTGGAATACAACTCTTAGGGTCGTATTGTAGAACTCTACTCAATGCTCAAGTCAGCATTTAAGTATGGTTTAAAGCACTCGAAATCATACTCAAGTCCCTGCCATTAGGATCGTATTTCCAGTGCTTATGTTTCCAGTGCAATCCTGACTTGAGCATTGAGTAGACTTCTGGAATACGACCCTTAGAGTCATATTTTAGAACTCTACTCAATGCTCAAGTCAGGATTGCAATTGAAACACAAGCACTGGAAATACGACCCTAATGGCAGGGACTTGAGTATGATTTCGAGTGCTTTAAACCATACTCTAATCCTGACTTGAGCATTGAGTAGAGTTCTAGAATACGAACCTTAGACACCGACTGAGCTCTCGACTGTCGACTACACCTTGTGAACATAAAGTAATATTAATTAAGAGATTGCTCAAACCAACTCGGTTCGATATTTCTCTCCGTGTAGTTCTTATATCTGTCCTGTTTTATTGAATAAATAAAATAAAAATCATGTCAATCGGTCGCTCCGTTTCAAAATGAAAGTAGACACAAACAAAAAAATAAAAAGGTAACAGACACAGTTTCGCATTTTAATAGTTATTAGTATTCCTAGATAGGTAAGTTTCGTAGATAATAGACCGCGGGCAATAATGTTTTAACAAGTTTTTGTTAAATAACCCGATTTGTGCATTCCTGTATCAATTGGCTGGTTCATAGAATACTTGTTCTTACTTGTTGAGTACGATTTTATGCATGTTTGTGTTATCCCTGTCGGTGCGTGCTAATTATGCGGTTTCGCGCATAATAGATAAGCAGCACTTAAGTTCAACACTTACTTACGTATTTCTCAAAACAAAACAATGTCGGAAGTAAAAAAGATGAGACGGCAATACTGTGCGGAATATATTAAATTCGAATTCATTGAAAATCCCACAAACCCATCGTCGCCTTTGTGCCTTCTATGTCTAAAACATTTTCGAATGAAGCCTTCAAGACTGCAAGATCATTTGAATAAAATGCATCCAGATAAGAAAGAGAAGAATGTAGCATATTTTCAAGACCTAGAGAAGAGGCACAATGCTCAGCCAAGTGTAGCAAAACTCTTTTCGGCGGCTGCTAAGCAAGATGACGACGGACTTCGAGCTTCGTACAATATCTCTTTGTTAATTGCTCAAAAAGGTAAACCACACAACATCGGAGGAGAGTTAATTTTGCCAGCAATAAAGGAAGTAATAAATAATGTGCTTCATAAACCGATCGCAGATATTATCCGACAAATTCCTTTGAGTAATAATTCTGCGCAAAGACGAATTGATGAAATGGCTGAAAACATTCATCAATGTATTGGAAAAATTTTGTTATGAGAAAGAGATTCCCTTGAAAAATATTATATCAGTTGCGACGGATGTCACTCCGGCTATGACAGGGTGCCATAAAGGCCTCATAGCGTACTTAAAAAATAAAATTCCACATGTCCTTGCTGTACATTGCGTTATTCATAGACAATATTTGGTTGCTAGAAATTTAAGTGAACGACTATTTCAATCACTGCAATATGTCATCAAAGCAGTCAATAAAATCCGAACAGCTCTTTGAATGATACATTATTTCATCAGCTTTGTGTTACTAATGACGAAGATTTCAACCGTTTGTTGTTTCATACTGAAGTTCGTTGGCTATCAAGAGGCAATTGTCTGACTTGATTTTACAACCTGTTTCGACTCTGTGGTAGAGTTCTTGGAAACTAAAGATACAGAATTGCGCAATAAGCTCATTACATCAAAGAATGATGTAGCTTACATGACAGACCTGTTTAAATTGTTCACATTAATTTTTTCGTTAATTGTACATGAATCTCCAAATGCAAGGCGATGAACTAAATTTAATTAAAACAAAAAATGTTGCTGCTTTCGTAGCCAAACTGCTTCTACACAAAAAGAATATGGGGAGACGTGAGTGTCACAATTTTCCGAATTTATCAGTATCCTGCAGTAAAGGCGACTTGTTTGTCTACTGCCAACATTTGGAAAACCTCCACATTGACTTCATCGAACGATACCAGGACATTTTGAACTTGGAAATACCAGACTGGGTGTTGGATCCGTTTTTAAATGTCAACACAGCAATATCACCTCAGTTGGAAGAAGAACTTATAGAATTGACAACGAACGATGGACGAAATGGCTACCAAGAATTTTGGCTACAAAAACCGATCTCGCAACTGGACCCTGGATTGTGGTCAATCGTTCAAAGATTCTTGATAGCATTCCCATCGTTATATTTGTGTGAACGTGGTATTAGGCTGTGACAACGCTGCTTACTAAAAAGAGAAATCGTTTGCAAGTTACCGAACGTGGTGACTTGCGACTGTTCTTGAGTAAATTGGAACCTGATATCAACAAACTTATTAAACAGCATCAGATTCATCCTTCACATTAGTTTTTATATTAGAATCGATTATGTTTAGGAAATGAAACTATTTTTCCGGATTTAAATCGCGTATATTTGTTTTTTCAAACAAAACGACGTTTCGGGCCCTTCTGACTGACAGTCAGTCAACCGTGACCATGGGACCTGTAAAGGGCCCGAAACGTCGTTTTGTTTGAAAAAACAAATATACGCGATTTAAATCCGGAAAAATAGTTTCATTTCCTATGTGTAACAATCGCGAAAACCTAAGAACTCGATATCGATTATGTTTGTTTTATTTTGAATAAAAGATACTCTGTCTGAATACTATAAAGTTGCGTTTCAATAATCATTCTCATTGGCAGGTGTAGCCCGTAAGAGTTAACTTGAGACTTGAGCGCCGTTGTGTACTACCAGGTCTCAAGTTAACTCTTGCGGGTTATAGTAAAAGTCTCGTTTAGAATGAATGTTTAATCTCCGCTAATATAGCTCACAATAATTAATTTAATTTGAAGTTATAGTGGTTTTTAAGTAGGTGAAAAAATGGGGGCACTAAAAAATAATTTATTCTCAAAGTGGGCAGTAGACAAAATAAGTTTGGGAACCCCTGCTATAAGGATTGATAGACAAAATAAGTTTGGGAACCCCTGCTCTAAGGATTGAAGAGATGTGGTAACATAGGAGGATAGAAAAAAATCTTACCTTTTTTGTCTTTTACAAGTTTTGACACAAAGAGAATTTTATACAATGACAATATAAATAATAATGTATTAAGTTTATAAGAAGTTTATTTGATAGTCAGGAATATTTTATACTGCGGCTCATTCAATATTATTTCAGATACCTGACATGTTTCGTAAAGACTTTATAATTTTAACAAAAAAAATAATATCAAATCGTAAGTATTATAATATGTTACAACCAATCATATTATTACTATACTAATGTAGGTTACAAGTAGTGCCTCTGTCGCGGAATATCATGGTACCTTAGGCATATTAAGTTTTGGTGCCTCTTTCTCGTTAGGTATTTTGTTATGAAAAGCTCTTAATAATTGAAGATGTACAAATGATGTGGGCGAGCAAAGCGAACCTCATTTTTAATAAAATCTTATAATTATCAGCTTTATTATGGACTTAATACGGTAAATATTAGTAGGTACAAATCGATAGTTTGCAATAAGTATATTTTTAGTGTTACGAAAATTTATTTTATTTACCTCTGTAATTAAAATTCTGGATGTTCGATTATTTAACTCGGAAATAAGCGCTAAACATCCAAAGTGAATTAAAATGTAAATGTTTCAGTCCCAAGCAAATATGCAAAGCAAATATAATATCAATCCTGTGTGAAAAACGTAAACGGCGTTATTTAAAGTATTTTTCTAGATATCCTGTGGTCATACAAAATTTATAGCGTTAAACTTGAATGAGATATTTTCATTATAATATACACAGGGCGTTTACGTCATGAATAATGTTGTCTGAGTGTGAATCACTTCACATACTATGTACATTTTGATGTACACGGGGCCTTAGGAGATTATAGAGATTTAATTAAAATGTTTGATGCTTCTTTCTTTACAGAGACGAGAATTTCCCACTACACCACCTGCTGCGAGCCAGTTCCGCCAGGAGAGCCTTGTGGACCAGTGTTGAAAACTCCGATACCGGGACCAAACTCTAAGGATTTATTTCAAAAATTGAATGTAATTCAGGTGCATATTAGACTAAAAGGCACATTATGTAGGTTTGTAGTTGTAATTGTGACTTATAAAGAAGATAGGTAATTGTAATAAAACAGTAGTGTAGTACAAAAGTGTAGATCAACTTATGTCTCAGGGTGACGGGCGCAATGGCAGTGCCCTTCAGATCTTTGCGATTTAAAACTCTGAGTGGCACTGCAATTGTTATGGACAGGTTTGTAGCTTACCATCAGGCGCACGGCTTGTTTGTCCCGTCACTTGAAAAAAAGTTTCTTATTCGGGACTCACGTCACGAAACGAACCTTCATTCAAAATTTGCGTTTTTCTTTTTGATAAGAGTTTCATTGAAGTTATTCAGTATTTGTTTGTTCTTTATACATATAGAATAATAATAATATAGGTAATATACTATCGTATATTGTACCCCGCGCGGCGTTCTAATAAGGGGCAGTTCACCGTCCGAACCAATTACTGTCAAATAAGTAATACTTGATCAAATTAAAAAACAATGTCAAGTATGAAGCTTCATTCGCATCATGCGTCTTTTAATTTGACAGTAATTGTTTCGGACCGATGTCGGACGGAAATTGCCTCATTTATTACAGCAAGCTGGATCCGTGACATTATTTGCCGATTACAATAAAAGTATAGGAAATTATTTAGCGGACGCAGATGGAAACATGTTTTTGGACGTGTACACACAAATATCATCGATACCGATTGGATATAACCACCCTGAACTCTTCAGACTTTTCGCCAACAACCCGTCAAATGTAGTTAGTATTAAAATGTTTTTATCATAGTTATATTTAAATTCTGTAGTTACGTATTCATTTATTACGTTAAACAAAAACCACGTTTTGCATATTACAGAAAGCTTTAGTCAATCGCCCGGCACTTGGCGTATTTCCTTCAAAGGACTGGCCTTGCATGCTAGAACAAGTGCTTTTAAGTTGTGCACCACCGGGTATGTGCCATGTGCATACTATGATGTGCGGAGCTTGCTCCGTTGAGAACGCATTGAAGGCTGCGTTATACCTCAAGCGTAAAAAAGACAGAGGAAATTCTATACAATTCAGTAATTTTGAGCTAGAAACTGTTCTCAGCAATGTACCACCGGGGGCCCCTGATCTATCTATTTTGTCATTTAAGGTATCTAAGCTTTGCGTTTTCAAGCATATCACAACATGAATAGTTCCCTATAAAAAGAGATTTTTTTAAATAAAATTAATATGTGTACATTGTGTAAAGCTGCAGTGCAGTAATATTTGTGAATGGTATAGTCATATTTGGCATTGAATAATACGCATATGTAAAATTAAAAAAAGTATAAGTATACTGAGAATTGTCAAAAATCGCAGTTTCGCAGCATTTATTTAATAAATCCTTATTAACGTACAGTCAGTCAGTTAGTAACGTACAGTATATGTGCATGAGATACTTGACCCCCTAACATGCCCAAACCGACCTTTTGGTTCTGAGAGCCATCTTACGTATTGAACAAAGAAAAAAATTAAGCAAATTCAACTTTATTATATAAGCATATACAGTGGAGCGTTTCTTGATGATCAACATATTTTCGTCATTTAACATCTAAGCAAATTGGTCGAGCGGCTTGTTGTATGGACTGCCAGTTACAATACCCGTGGTTTCATTCCACGAGCACTATTTTCTTTTAACGTCATATTTTTAACAGCATTGTTTCACTTTTTAATGTTAACGTTGACAAATCACAATATTTGCTCACTAGAAAATTGCCTAAGGCACCCACCTTAATAGGGTAGGTATTAATAAAGTGTAGGGTGGGTATGGATAGATTAACAAATGACGAAATCGCTCTGCAGTTTGCATACGATCGTGTCATCTGTGATTACGCATTGGTCCACATTTCGTTCCCATTTATCTATTCAGTTTTAATTACTTTCAAAGTATTCTTTCTTGTTTTAATATGCCGCACTTAACGGAATTATTAAAATTAGAAATTATTGTTCTGTATGAACAAGATGTGCCAATCAAAGAAATTGCAAGGCGACTTCATATAGCGGTAAGTAGGACTCATTATATTTTTCACAGTGCTGCAGTTGGCTTCAACTTGCAAAAAGAACCACCCCATCCTTCATTATCCCACTGGTGTTATAAAACGTGTTTAACGAATCATTAAAATTACCAAAATATATAAATCTAGCATTAGGTGAAATTCTGCAATTATGAGGGCAGTATTATAAATTGCTTGTTCACAGAGAAACACTGTCAAGCTGTGGATCAATCGCCACAGAGCGACTGGAAATGTGCAACGTAATCAGCCGGGGCCAGCAGCGGTAATGGTTACTTCTGCATCTAGTCATCACCTAGATATTGTCAATTGCCATATTGAAGATCCCTTTGCCACTACAAAATCAACTGCATGAAATAATGACCAGGAAGAAGGACAATGTGGTGTCCATGTGGGACTCAATGCGTGGTGGAGATTTATGCTGGTCGATGGTCACAGGCATGAAAGACCGTTTACAGCAAATGATCGATTCTGAAAGCTTTCGTTTGCGGTATTGAAATGGTAATTGTGTAGTTTTTAAAAGTAGATTATAGTTATTTATAAGTCATCGCTAGGCAAAAATAATGTAGTGTGAGTGATGTTATTGTTATTTTTGTAACATGTCTATTCACTGCACTACCTTATAATTTTGTAAAAATGCAGCCTGTAAAACTATAGTTCGTTTCAATTTATTTTGCATAAGATTACCTATGTAACATGTTTCAAATAAGATTTTAACATGTTATTCAATTGAATATTATTGGAAAAAGTAGTGACATATCAAGTTGAAATCTTCAAATATGAATACGTAAGGTATTCCATGAAAAATGTATCTACTTTTTCGAACGTTTTGTCAATACATATATACAATTGTGAACGATACAATTGTGAAAATTATGTAGTGAGTTAAAAAAAATACAGTAGTTACTGATACACGCTGTAAGTTTTTTTAAATATATTTACTAATTATAATTTAGACGAATAAAATATTAAAATATTTGTTGAATTACTCCAGAAGGATACTTTTATTTCAATCACTTAATGTTTCTGGGAGGTGGTTCATTTTGAAAATCTAACATTCTTAGACAATCTAGAGGTTAAAAACAAAAAAAATACAATATTATATAGTCATAGCTAAATAATATTTTATTTTTAATGTGACTCGAACCATGCTTGCGTTTGTAAAGCAATCCTTACCTATACCGCTAGGCCACGACGTCCGTACTTAAGCTGCTTGAAATTTGTATTCCGTATTTAAGCAAGAACTAAAGATCAAATTATTGAATTATTGAAAAATTAAAGATCAAATTGGCTTAAAAATGTTCTTACAATGTCATTCACTAATGAGACCAGGGCGCCATACCAAAATAAATTTTACGGCTCACAGGTTAAAGATTAAGTTTGTTTTAACAATTTTCTCCACATTTTTGTGTTCAGAACCAAAAGGTTGACAAAGGGAGGGTCAGGTATCTTATGTATATGACTGTACATGACTTACATTTTAGGGTGCTTCCCATGGACGAACAATGGGGGCGCTGTCTGCACAGAGATCAAAACACATACATAAATTGGATACTCCCGCATTTGACTGGCCTATGGCTGATTTCCCAAAATACAAATACCCTCTAAACGATCATTATATGGAAAACAAAGCGGAGGACAAGAGGTGGGTATCTAAATAGAAATCTTCAAAAATATATTACGGGTTGTTTTTGGGATCCACATCTTCGTGGTATGCCCCGCGCAACGGCTTAGCTAACCTGCAGTGATATCAATTGAATAAGAATCAAGCGGTGATGAAGCCCTTTGTAAGGCTTTGCCTGTCTTGTGACCACCACCCCCTAAACATTTCACTTGGTTTAGATGTGGTTTTATGCAGTAGTGTTGTACAGGACTGGACTTGTGCTTCACCATAGCACCTGCTATGGTCTATGGTCGCTCTATTAACTACCTAGTTAAGTTAATAGAGCGTCATAGGGTTCTCTGCCACTAGGCGCCATCGAGTACATGACCAAAGTCCGCATAGGTACAATTAAAGCGCTAGCCAAATCTATAATGTAGGCTTTCTATTTGAAAAACCAGTAATCCGAGCCGAATCCGACATATCATAGATATATCGACCCCCGTGTGGTCACGTCATTATTTTAACCAATGACCTCAATAACTGAGGGTCTTAGTCACAATCAAGTTTAGCACGTTTTGGAAACAAATGTGAAATAAGCACAGGTCGGGAAAAGGTGTTCCACATATATATATTGTATCAACAAGGAGCGACATAGAGTTGTTAAAACGACCAAATATTAATTAATTACTTTTTTCGAATTCCGGATTTACGGATCAAAGAAAATCCTCTCTTTGTTTTTTTTTTCTATTTATAATTTATAAAGATAAATAGCCGTACATGAGTAAGGGTGTCAAAAATGGCACTTTTTCGTCGTATTTAAGCGTTCAACAGTTGTTTTTAATAAAAAGTGTAAAATAATCCAGTGTGAACATTTTCCTTTAAAAATACGACAATTCTGAAGGCGGTTCGAATTTATGAACATTTGTTAACCGTGTTTTTAAATTTAAATAAAATATTTTTAGAGCGCGATCACGATTCTCGTGCAAACTAAAATGGCCAAAAATTTCCCGCGTAAATAAAATTTTAATTTAATTTTTTTTCTTAAGTTCTACTAGCAAATGCCGCCGTTCCGTCAATGGGGACAGTGACCATTCTCGGTATTTTTTTATTCTCAGTTTTGATAAAAGGTCAGTTATCTGCTGCATTATTTATAGTCTGTTCCAATCAAATGTATGTACCAAAAAAGTAAACAAACAGATCATTGTCCCGACCATAGACAGTTTAGTGATTGCCAACTGTACTGCCAACTGTACTGCCAACTACAAATCGATTAATTAATTGATTTGTTTATGTGAATGAGTTGGAATAACTGGGTTTTATAAAATAGAATGAGTTTTGCGAATTCGCGGCTGATTACTATAAAAAATATGTGATTCAATACTGAGTGATAATATTTCATATACGAGATTAGAACTTTTTTCTTCTTATAAAAGCATATTTCAAATTTCCGAATTCTAATTTTAAATCCTCCTTCAAATCTTGCACTTATATATTCGTTCGATTATGATAAAATTTTCGATTCACTAATCGATTATAAAAACTTTAACCGAATGTATTATTTCCGTACAGCCCTATGCAACCATAGACTATTCACAAATCTGTATTTGATTACTAACCTGACTTTTGAACTAACATTTTTCAAATGAGATTTTAATATGTTATTCAAATGAATATTGGTGGAAAAAGTGATGAGATATCAAGTTAGAATCTTCAAAATATACGTGAAAGTGTGACTTATTCCATTTATTGAGTGATTGCTTTAGAATTTTAACCAATCCGGTTTGTTTACTTTTCTGGCATAATGGATTGGAACAGACTTTACATGGCACCATTAGAATTATTTTAAAGTTCAAATTCGACTTCCTAGGTTAGTAGTTTATCCTACGGTGCAGTAAAACCATTTCATAAAATCCAGAATTCGAAAATATAATATTTGGTGGTTTCAATAACTCTATGTCGCTCCTTGCAGCTCTGTCATACATGTATCTATGTGTGGAACACCTTTTTTCGACCTATGGTAACAAGTCATAAAATTATCTACGTAGGTAGATACCTAAAAATTTCATATAATAGGTAACGTAATATCTTATTCGGAATTTTTCCTCAAAAACACACTGTGTAGCAAGTAAGTAGTACGTTAGTGGACATTTGTGGAATAAAATTTTAGGATTCCCACTAGTGGATTGTTTTTGTATGTATAGATTTTTTTACCTACTTGTTTTTAATATCATAGCATAATTGTCATCAAATATTTAATATTATAGATGTCTTGAGATGGTGTGTTGTCTCATTGACGAATATAAACAAAAAAGAAATGATGTCGCGGCTGTAATCATTGAGCCAATACAATCGGAAGGTGGCGACAATGAGGCGTCAGCTGAATTTTTCGTGTCGCTTCAAGGAATTTGCAAACAGGTTAAACGTTATTTAATGTAATTCCCTCTAGCATCGCCACTCCTGTGACCAGGAATTTTTGTCCCCGTTCCCACTGGACCGGCACTGGCACAGACTATTTAATAGTTACTACCTATCGCTCCGAGGAGGCAGATAGGTAGGTCTTATGGTTAGAAAAATTCATATAAAAAACTTTTTTTTTAAGTTGATAGAACTGAGTCAAAAGCAAATTAAGCTTGACACTAATATTTAAATGCAACTTTGTGCCACTTGCGATCAAAATGTCCAATGGTCCAATGTCTAAAGTGTCAAATTTTATGTGCTCTTGACTATACTCAGGGCGCGTACCCAATTTGTTGTCACGTTTTATTATCGTTGGTCGACTGTCGTGACTAGCTGTTCTCACTAGATCGTGACGACAATTTATCGTTTCACGACAGCCTCCTTGTCGTTTGCACGACAGAGTCGTTTGATGCACTGCAGTCGCTTGTATGTTCTTTTGCAAGCCGGTAATGTGTGTTCGCTCGAAATGGATGAAGACGAAATTTTAATAATGTGTTACTTCTTAAAAATGCGGAAGAGGAAGCATACAAAGAAACGAAAGTTTTGGGTACATCCAATGCTACTAAAAAGAATTCCATTGGGGTTATGTCAATCGGTATACGAAGTTGTTTTCTTTTCGTTATTGTCAAAACCTGCTACGACCAGAGATGGGCAGTGGGTTAAAACCCAATCAACCCGCCCGTGTTTTCACCAGCGTTTTACCCGAAACGCCGAGTTTTAACCTATATCTGCCCAAAATCGTGGGCAGAAACGAAGAGTACAGAATTTGGTATAATTCCAAAAAAAACGTAATATACAATAACTTGTAACACATTTCTATATTTTTATTGCACGAGGAAGAGGGATCTCTACATAATACCCACCACCTGTCAATCCTGTTTGAGGATAATTTACTTTTACCCCAAAGGTATCTAAGACATATAGCTAGTTTGCTATCTTTTAATATTAAGGACGCTATTATAGAAGATATAACACAGTCCCACGACAATGCTCCTACTTTAAGAAGCAACAGTATACTTTTTAATAAGCATAATTTAAACTAAAAAACACGACAACAGAAAAGTCTAATCGTTTCCATGTAGTACATCAAAATATTCAAGGCTTTTCTGGCAAAACATTAGAAATAAGTCTTTTTTTGCACGATATTTCCGTTGACGTGTTTTGTGTTACAGAACACTGGCTGAAAGATTACGAAGCCATTAACAATATAGAAAATTATGTAATAGTCAGTTCGTTCATAAGAAAGAGCTTAAGTAGAGGCGGATCCATGATTATTATTAAGCGTAACTTAAAATTTAAAGAGCGTAAGGATATCACAAATCTTTCTACTGAACGAACTATTGAGATTTCATGTGTGGAATTGGATCAGTTTGTCGTCTTATGTGTATACAGGCCCCCCTCTGCTAATTTTAACGAGTTTGAATTAATTATGGAAGACAGTTTAAAGCGGATTTTTCCAACCAAAAAAAACGTAGTAATATGTGGAGATTTCAATGTAAACCTGTTGGAAAACTGTTCTACTTCTGTAAGACTCATTAATTTATTTCAAAGTTTTAACTTGATTAATCTTTTTTTAGAACCAACTCGCATTACTGCCTCCTCTTCTACTTGTATTGATAACATCTTTTGTAACACAGACGCAGTGTCTAAATCAATAATTAATTGCTTAAGATCCGACCATAGTGGCCAATTGGCTTCTTTTAATTGTAAAATGAGCAAGAAGGTAGACCAATTTCTCTGCAGACCGATTACCACAGAACGAATAATTAGATTTCAAAATAATATCGGCAATAGTTTAAATTCCCTATCCCATATACCGGAGGATCCAAATACTTTATATAACACGATATTTGGTTTAATTAAAAATGAATTTGACAATATATTTAAATCGAAAACATTAACTTTCCATAGAGAGACTAAATTCAACGACTGGGCAACAGTAGGTATTCATAAGAGTAGGTCTCGTTTGTATGAGCTATATGCTATGAAAACTTATAATAATAATTCCAATTTTATAGAATATGTTAGAATTTATTCGAAAATATTTAAAAAAGTTTGTGTAGCTGCTAAGGTTAAGTTTCACAGCGACAAAATTAGACAATCGATAAATAAATCTAAAACTACTTGGAGCATAATAAATAAAGAGTCAGGCAGGGTTAAACTACACGATAGAGATATAGTTTTAGAATTAGACAGCAAACTTATAAAATCTAAAGATAAAGTAGCCCAAGCTTTTGAATCGTTCTTTTCGGAAATTGCTGTGAACACTACAAAATCATTAAATTCCTCCCCTTCACTTGCTATTGATCTCCTAAAGGAAAATGTTAACGTTTGTGGCAGTTTATTTAATTTTCGTCATGTTAATCCACAAGACATCATAAAAGCTTTTAAGTCAATACATGTTAAAAAAACTGAAGATCTCTGGGGCATATCAACTAAAGTTATAGACTCAGTTATTAATCTCATTTCCCCACAGTTAGCTGTAGCTTTCAATAGGTGCGTTGACGAAGGTGTTTTTCCCGATTTAATGAAATACAGCAAGGTTATTCCCTTATTCAAAAGCGGTAGGAAAGTTGATCCTAGCAACTATAGGCCCATTTCAATTTTACCAGCTTTAAGTAAAATATTCGAAAAGGTATGCTAACTCAATTACTGTCCTTTTTCGGTAGGAATCATATTTTTCATAGTGAACAATACGGGTTTACTAGTGGTAGATCGACTAGCGATGCGGGGGTAGCGTTACTAAAACACATCTTTGATGCTTGGGAAAGGTCCCAGAACGCTATTGGTGTTTTCTGTGACCTCTCAAAGGCATTTGATTGCGTTGATCATAATACTCTTATTAGGAAGCTGGAACATTACGGTGTAAATGGCAAGGCGTCGAAACTTGTCTCGTCATATCTCAACGGTAGAATTCAGAAAGTAGACATAAATGGAGTAACTTCTTTGGGTTCTCCAGTAAAAATGGGTGTTCCGCAGGGCTCAATACTTGGACCTTTCTTATTTCTGATTTATATTAATGATCTGCCATTCTTTGTTAAGGACCATTGCGAAATAGTGTTGTTTGCTGATGACACATCCTTGATTTTTAAAACAGACAGACATGACATTAACCATGACCGTATTAATGATACCCTCTCTAAGGTAGTTTATTGGTTTAATGCTAATAATTTATTGCTTAATGCCAAGAAGACAAAATGTGTTAAATTTGAATTACCTAACGTAAAATCGACTAGTCCAAGCATAGAAATAAACGGAGAAAAGTTAGACCTTGTTAATAAAGCAGTCTTCTTGGGAGTGACCTTAGATAGTAAACTTCAGTGGTTTCCACATATATCGTCCCTGGCCAGCAGATTAAGCTCCGCTGCATACGCAGTCCGCAGAATACGTGAGCTTACCGATGTTAGTACTGCTAGACTAGTTTACTTTAGTTACTTCCATAGTATAATGTCCTACGGGATTCTCATGTGGGGTAAAGCGGCAGATATTCAAACCATATTTGTATTGCAAAAACGAGCGATTCGTTCTGTGTACCGTCTAGGCTCTCGGGTATCTCTCAGAGAAAAGTTTAAGGAGACTGGTATCATGACTGTGGCATCGCAGTACATTTACTCAAATATTTTATATGCCCGTAAAAATATACATAATTTCACTAAGAAAGAAGATATCCATAATATTAACCTTAGAGCTAAGTCCAAACTCATGGTACCACGATTTCGTTTAACCAAGGTAAACAACTCTTTTATGGGGAACTGTATACGTTTTTACAATAAGATTCCGGAGCATATATTAAGTTTATCATTTCCTAAGTTTAAAAACTACATTAAAAATATTTTGATCGAAAAATCATATTACAAAATTGAAGACTACGTGTTAGATAAAGATGTATGGAAAGACGACATGGCTCCAGAATCCACACAAATTTGATTCAAAGTGTATTCCATAGCATTTAAGTTTATTTGAAAAGAGCAATCCCTAGAGTTTCTTGCTCGTTCTTCTCAGGGAGGTCAGCGTAGTGAACGAGCAGTAGCTTAAATGTGACGTTTTCAAGTGTAAATTTATTTTACCTATGGAATAAATAATCTTTGACTTTGACTTTGACTTTGACCTGTGGATTCTCAATGAATATCGATTCAAATGCATACGATCTAACGATTTTTTCTATCAATTTATTGATGAACTTTTCAAGCGAATCTATCAAATAGAAAGGTAAATCGAACTGTCTTGATAACGAAGCAACAAATATTTTGTAATAATAGTATAATTAAATTTGAACAAAACTCAATTCACAACAAATATTTAGACGTAAATAGTTTTTGCCTACGATTTCGGGTTTTAACCCGATTTAAATCCGGCGCGACCCAACGCTACTGCAAAGCGAGCAGAGGGCGCGGGGTACGAGAGGGGAGGCAGGGAGCAGAATACGTGCGGACAGCGATAAATAAAACGTGACGACAATAGGAGCTGCGACAATCTGTCGTCACGTTTTTATCGTGACGTTTTTTTATCGTCTGACGACTGTCGTTCTAGCTGTTCCCACTATGACGACAGTTTGTCGTTTGTAACGATAAAAAATCGTGAACGACAGTTAATCGTGTCGTGCTACATGTGAACAACTTCATTTAAATATACAAGTCACGACAATATGTGTAAATTGCACGACTATCTGTCGTCACGACATAGTGGGCACACTTTACAAAAATCACCGACTTTCGAAATCGAAGTTTAAAATACTTCTATTAAAATACTACACTTAAATGAAAAATACATCGGTATTGAGAGGGTGTATTAAAAGGACAACTGGAGAGAGTTACCATCAACAATGATACTAGAGCAATTATGGTTAAACATTACTTATTATTTTTCAACTCTATAATTTGTTTGTGGAACCCGCGGGGCATAAATAGAGGATAAATTATAGCCATTTGCAAAGAAGACAAATTTTGTAAAAATATTTACCTGTGTTTGCAGTGATATTAATGCAAACCGTATAATAATTGTTATGTATATGGTCCAAACTTTTTGTTACACCTTGCAAGTATATAATGCAATTAAAGGAGAGCGGGAGCTATGCTGTGCTACGTATCCACTAATAAGTAACAGCAAATATTTATTCAAGTATTTTAAGTTGTATAACATACAGTCAAGAGCAAATAATGCTTGACACTTTGGATTGTTCTTGTCGTAAGCAGTGTAGAGTTGTACTTTAACTGTCAAGGTGTGTTAAAAAACTTAAAAGATAAGTATGTAAAATACATAGTTGCAAAAATGGTAGCAGTTCAGTCGTAGTTTCAGCTTTATTGTATGTAAGTACACATAACCGATTAATTGTAAAAGTAACTCATTGCTCATTTATATACAATACCAAAAAAAAAATTGTGTTTCAGAATTCAATAGCCTTTATTTTAGACGAGATTCAAACTGGTGGTGGTTCAACCGGCAGATTTTGGTGTCATGAACACTTTGCACTTCCATCACCACCCGACATCGTGGTCTTTAGCAAAAAGATGCTGATTGGGGGATTTTATTTTATGCCTGAGTACTAGTGAGTTTGCAAGCAAATAAAGTACATTTAAAAAAAAAAATCTAGTGACGGCTCGAACAAGTCGTGCGTATGGTGGTAAGCTACGCGCCTGTCCCTAACGGTTGTACAGCCACTCAGAGCTTTGAATCCCAAAGATCTGCAGGGCACTGCCACTGCGTCTGTCACCCTGAGACATAAGTTGACAAGTCCCATGTGTCTGTTATTTCACCAACACCCTTACCCTTTAAAAACCGAAAGGTAGTAATGCTAACATTACTGCTTGGCGTCAGAAATAGGTAATGTGGCTGTAACTCTCTGAACGAACTCTTTCTCAAGGCGCTCTACTACTACTAAATATATAAGAAAAGGTGGTCCTTGGTAGAGTCTATTGGTAAATTGACTTGTAAGTTACACGGAATTATTTAGCAATTGTTGCTTTCGTTTTAACAGCACAACTAACACAATTTGTTTACATTTACAGCGCTCCTCATCCTTATCGAATTTTCAACACATGGGCGGGTGACCCGACAAAATTAATTATGCTAGGTAAAGTGATAGAATGCATCCATGTGCAAAACTTGCTCTCCCTGGTGACATATAGCGGTACATATCTTATGAACGGACTCTATGAATTGCAAACAGAGTTCCCAAATTATATGTTTAACGTTCGGGGAAGAGGAACAATGGTAGCGTTTACGTGTCCAACCGTAGAAGTTCGTAATACAATACATAGAAATTTATTAGATCGTGGTAAGTACATAAAATCACTTCCTATTTTTTATATAGTGAGGGGAAAAAAGAAAAATATTTATTATGATAATACCTACACATTTTTAAAAGAAATTCCGGCTCGAAGGCTAGACGGTTTGAAGAAAATACAAAAAGTTGCTTATGCTAGGTAATCGAGTATGGTGTATGAATTAGCGCTAGAGTAACCACTATAGTTAGGAATATTTTTATTATGACAAGAGAACACGGCGGTGGCAGTTTATCTCATTGGTAAAATAGTTAGGCCTTTTGTAATGGAAATTACAAGTTAATTATCAAATAAAATAGCCAAGCGTTTCCTTTGTTAAAAATTGTGTGAAAATATTGTTGATGTGGAATACCGTAACATTATGTGTCTGCATTATGTGTATGCCTCGTTACTAAAAAGTGCCGATGAGAGTCGTGTCATATGAACTCTTCGACACTGGTGCTGAGGTAATTGGTATCTATATTTAAAATGGTATATTATATTAGAGTTGCAACGAATATTCGGTTACTGTTCAGTATTCGGCTTATTGAAGGATTTGATCATTTAAGTAATATTAATGCCGAATATATGTACGTTTTATCTTCGAGAAAGTACAATTTTTCGCTTATTTATCTAAAAGATTAAAAGGAAAGGTAATATTACTAAGAACATAAAAAAGTTAACAAGTCAAATGGAACTACTAACTTGTTATATACTTTAGTCATGGCAAAATAAAGTAACAAAATAAACCATATGCCTTTTATTTGCAAATCAAATTTTTGTTTTATTTTTTTTTCAAACTAAGGTAAAATAAACAAAAATTACTTTCTTCATTAAGATGTCATAAACTTAAATTACCTGTATTGTTTCCTCGTACAAAATTATTCACAAAATAAAGTTAATAAGTGATGTTTTACGTGCCAAATTTCGTACGTGCGCAAATCAGGCCGAATAGTTACGCCTTATATTCGGCTATTCGGTCTCAGGCCAAATATACTATTCGTTGCAACTCTCGTATATTATTACCTATTCATAGTAACCTTTACGCTAACACCAGGAAGACGAAAAGCCAGGTTTTATTTCCTTACATGAAACTTATTGTCTTTACAGGTGTTATCGGAGGCATCTGTGGTAGTTCAAGTATAAGAATTCGACCTGCTTTAACTTTCCAGCCAAGACATGTACAGATTTATTTATATGTTCTAAGGGACGTGCTTAGACATTTAAACCCAACTAAATAGTGTTAAATTCAACCAATATTTTCTTGCGATAGTACCGATTTTGGTATGAGACTCTTTATTGAGGTACGTAGGTATCCAAGTATTTAGACCGACTGATCTTGCTGTGTCAAAAAGGTCAATTCGTTGTTTGAATTTATTACTTATAAAAGTGCGAGTTACCAGAAATACAATATAAATTACACAAAAACTAATAATACATATTTTTTACAATAGTTAAAATTTAGTTGGTTTTATTCATGTTGTTATTTCAGGGGAAGTTTGTAAGTGGCGCTAGTGACGGAAAAGTTGAGGAGTAATAGGTTAGCGTGATATGGACATGTCCATGCGGAGGCAAAATGTCATGTAACGAGAAGAGTGTTAGGTATGAATGTAGAGGGATATAAGGGGAAAGGTTTGCCAAAAAAGATGGGTGGATTGTGTGAAAGATGACATGCACAAAAAAGGTGTGAGTATATAAATGACGGCTGACAGGGGAGAGCGGAAGAAAAATACATGTTGTGCCGACCCCACCTAGCGTGGGATAAGGGCAAGAAGAGGAAGAAGATTCATGTTGTTATTTATTCAAACGCAAATTCTAGCGCCACGATTTCTCGACTACGATACGTACCTACCTATCTTTAAAAACGTCTATTTGAGTGTATTGGCCAGTTCTGATGAGTTTTCCATTTTCCTATTAGGGACTACTGTGCGGTCATTTTGCCTGCAGATGGTCTCAATATTGCCGTAATAAGTAACTCCAAGTTACTATACAAAAGAATGGCAGAAAAGTGAAAGGGTAATAATAATAACGCATACACTCATAGCCCCGCACTAGGGAAGCCCTATATCGCGAGTGCCATGGACACACAAATAGGCAACCATAAATTACACCCAAACTCACGAGAGAAATAAATGTAGGCCATACAAATATTTCTCTGCGCGGCAATGGTAACCGTTCGGCCACTGAGGCAGTTAGAAGGGTGTCATGTAACATAGATAAACTAAGATGGAAACGTATAATATAAATTACTTATTGTGATAATGAGTCCTTTGAGAAAACGCGTCGTACGTGTTTAGATTAAATATTTGCCACATACAGGGGTCAAGAGCACGTTAAGGTTTGACTTTAAATACAACTTTATGTTACTTGCGACAAGAACAATCCCAAGTCTAAAGTGTCAAGCTGGACGTGCTCTCGACTGTGTTTAACACGTTCACTCCTACACTTACTCAAATATAAAATATAATATAATAATGAAATCGTTTGTTTTTCTCCCAACAAGTACAAGATGTAGGTAATACAATATAAGTGAGAGGTTGGGAGACAGGAGCCCAAACTAGGTTAGACCTGTGCTATGAGTCACCTGGCCTCCAACACCCGGAATTCAATCTCTGTTTGATAAAACAAGACGACTTTGGTAAAGGGATAGCAAAACAGTAGGTAGCAAACTATAAAAAGAACAAAAATAAATGTAACTAGAGATTGAAATGCTAATAATATAAACAAAATTTATATAGGTACGTGTGTGAGCGTGCGTGTGTGTGTGCGTGCGTGTGTGTGTGCGTGCGTGTGCGCGTGCGTGCGTGTGCGCGTGCGTGCGTGTGCGCGTGCGTGCGTGTGCGCGTGCGTGCGTGTGCGCGTGCGTGCGTGTGCGTGCGCGTGCGTGCGCGTGCGCGCGCGTTCGCGTGCGCGTGCGTGCGTGTGTGTGTGTGTGTGTGTGTGTGTGTGTGTGTAACATATTGCAATATTCCCAGACATCAAACCGTAGGTGACATTAGATCCTCGGTCTTATCGTAGTTGAGTGTCTGAAGCCATCTAGAAACAACCCTTTTGCATTCCCATCTTGGTGTGTGGTACATATGAAATAATTTATTGGCTTTATTGTACAGTCTACCACTTTGATACAAATAAAATTTTGGAATGAAAGAAGTTCTGCCCTATAATGACCACGTACCTTGAACTCTATTAGGATTATTTTCCCCCCTGACCCCTATTTATTCTAGCCTGACAACAGAAGCTAGGATAAATAATTGCCTCACAGTTAGAACTTCACATTCTTCATATAATGATGATGTAGGATAGAGTCGATTACACCTGCAATGATTATTGAAACCCAACTTTATAGTATTCAGACAGAGTATCTTTTATTCAAAATAAAACAAACATAATCGATTTTAATATAAAAACTAATGTGAAGGATGAATCGGATGCTGTTTAATAAGTTTGTTGATATCAGATTCCAATTTACTCAAGAACAGCCGCAAGTCACCACGTTCGGTAACATGCAAACGATTTCTCTTTTTAGTAAGCAGAGTTGTCACAGCACTAACACCACGTTCACACAAATTTGACGATGGGAATGCTATCAAGAATCGTTGAACGATTGACCACAGTCCAGGGTACAATTGCGGGATCGGTTTTTATAGCAAATATTCTTGGTAGACATCTTGAATTTCATTTTTAAAGTACGCTATGAAGCCTTTATGGCACCCTGTCATAGCCGGAGCGCCATCCGTAGCAACTGATATAATATTTTTCAAGGGAATCTCTTTCTCATCACAAAACTTTTCCAATTGAATATGGTTTCGCCTTTTGTATCGGTCTCTAAATTTCTAGCAAACAATAGTTCTTCACATATTTTCTTATCTTTAATAAACCTCACGTAAGACAGCAACAATACCTCATTAGTTGGTAAAGTGGACTCTGAATTGAGAATTGACTTGTCCTCAGATGATTGTACAATGATTCTTCAATGTTTTCAGCCATTTCATCAATTCGTCTTTGCACCGAATTATTACTCAAAGGAATTTTTCGGAGAATATCTGCGGCCGGTTTATGAAGCACAGTAGTTGTGACTTCCTTTATTGCTGGCAAAATTAACTCTTCTCTGATGTGGTGTGGTTTGCCTTTTTAAGCAATTAACAATGAGATATTGTATAAAGCTTGAAGTCCGTCGTCATCTTGCTAAGCAGCCGCCGCAGAGTTTTGCTACACTTGACCGAGTATTATGCTTCTTCTCTAGGTCTTGAAAATATGCTACATTCTTGTCTTTCTTATCTGGATGCATTTTATTCATATGATCTTGCAGTCTTGAAAGCTTCATTCAAAATGTTTTTAGACATAGAAGGCACAAAGGCAACGATGGGTTTGTGGGATTTTCAATGAATCTGAATTTAATATATTCCGCGCAGTGTTGCTGTCTCTTCTTTTTTTACTTCCGACATTGTTTTGTTTTAAAAAATACGTAAGTAAGTGTTGAACTTAAGTACTGCTTATCTATTATGCGCGAAACCGCAAATTAAAATAAAATAAATATTACGTTGTTTATATAAGATTACATAAGCAGCACGCACCGACAGGGATAAGACAAACATGCATAAAGTCGTTTATCTCATTCGACACTCAATCGTATACTCAACAAGTAAGAACAAGTATTCTATGAACCAGCCGATTGATACAGGAATGCACAAATCGGGTTATTTAACAAAAACTTGTTCAAACATTTTAGGCCTTTAGGCCTACAGCGCCCGCAATGGGGCGTTATCATACATTATTACATTATTACATTATGAAAGGTTGCACTAACACCTCACTTTCTCCTTTACGTTCTCATACTTATGGCTAATGAAGACAGCCTTTTCAAGTTCTTCGTTTGACTTGCGCATCTGTTAACATTGCTCTTTCAGCTCAGCTATATCCGTTACAAGTTTAGATAACGTTTCATTTTGCTCGATTCTCCATTGAGATAACATTTCCTTCAACGCATTCTTAAAGCTGATTCATTTCTAAAGTATGAATCGTCGAATTCCTGTGGTGTTATAACACATGAACGTTTTTTTCGTGTAGTTACATTGTCTACATTTTCTCCTAATGGAATGTTAGTAGTTATATTCAGCTTTGATACTAGCGGTTGATTCAGGTCTGAGTTAGGTGTTTTTGGCGGAGTTCTTTGAAACTTTAGGCATGATTTTTAACCTAAGTTGGCTGACAGATCCAGTAACCTTAGCACTATTACAATACAAAAGCAACAGTAAGCTATATTAAGCAATAGTAAAATGTATGCTGTTGCGAAATTGCAATAATGCATACGAAAATGCATAACAACCCCACAGCCAAGTCCATTGGGGTAATGCTTGAGTATTGGGGTGTTTATGCCCACGAACTCGGTAGTAGAGATCTTTACGCGATGCGTCCACGACCGGATTATACTCCGCGACCCCATATTGTCCCATTAAAAAAAAAATTAGGCTGTATGATTTTGTTTTTATTTGTTATATTGATCGATTATATTTTAATTATTTAAATATTTAATTATATTACATAATTTTTTGAAAATAGGCAATATCGCGATGGCTGCAGTGTTTTTTTTATTCTAATGTAAGTGTGCATTTGACCTCCATTTCTGCAAGTTGAATGCGTACAAATGTTGTTTACAAAGAGCAACCGCTAGAGTTTCTTGCTCATACTTCTCGGGGGAATCTGCCTTATGAATCAGCGGTAGAGCTGACCTATGAAATAAAGATTATTTTGATTTGATTTTGATCCTGGGTATCGTTTACGAGGTATTTGGGGGTGCTCATTACGAATATAGC